TATAGATAGTCACCAGTTCATTAAAAGTTTTATTTAAATTTTAAAAGATAACCCCCAAATTCAATTAATTTTTGCATTAATGTTTATAATCCATAATTTCATCATCATAAGTCGTCAGTCCTAAGACTGCTTGGACACGTGCATCCACTCTTTCCTATCCTGAGCTAACCTTCGCATTTCCCTAAAATTAAAACAATCCATATCCTTCACTATTTGCGAACAGTGATGTAATCTAGGTCTACCTCTACCCCTTCTAACTCCCGTTTCCCCCTTTAATATGTCTCACACTAGACCTTGATGCGTGAGATGGTGTCCTGCTAATCTATCTCATCTTTTTCTTCTTGACTTCCATAGAGTCCTCTGTTCTCCTATTCTTTCTAATATCTCTTCATTTCTAACCTTCTCTATCCACGGTATCCTCATCATTCGAATAATTTTTTTTTTAGGGAAATCCCACTTCGACAAAATTAAATGAAATGATAAGTTTTATCTACGATCCTCTACACTTTATTGAGTACGTGTTGTAATCTTCAACTTGCATTAAAAGTTTTTTAATCTAAAGAATGAAATTTTTGCACACTTTTACTGCAACAGCATTGGAATTACGATTTAACGTCCCAATTGATATCGAATATCCGGAACTGCATTCAGTCTACTTCCAAAGGATGGGTCTTAATAAGATAGGTATATTTTCGCCTGAAGAATTTTTGGTTTTTATTCATGCATATATTTACTAAGGATTATTGTAATTAAGATAAAAATCAAATAGTCAGGTCATTTTTTACATTAGTTGACATTGGAATTGAGACATGAAGTTTAGTCAGGTAGGTAGTACTATTTTGTCCACTAAAAGGTCGGTTTATTATTTGGATGAAGGCCAAGTTCTCCAGTTTTCATAATCTCACAACTATCGGCACTATTTTTTTTTTAAAATGACAAATTAAAGACATGATATATCTACTGTGTTTTAAGAAATAAGAAACATAAGTTTGTCGTCATCTTTGAAAAACATTTTGCTATGTTACTTACATTTCTTTCGCTCTATATTGCAATGTTTATGAAGGAAACTGGGAAACACGTTAATCTAGTTTTCATTGTTTATCTTAACGACCGGAACATTTTACTATTTATCAGTTAAATGTTAAAGGAATGAACGTAATTTATAGTTCCTAGAAACTGAAAACTAAATAATCTTAAGTGATGTGTGCAAGCTACATTTGTTTTTATCACTGATAGTATCGTACGTGTGTATCTCTATTAAAAAAATGAATGCCTGTAAAATATTCCTATTTATTTTCTTTTGGTAATTTAAATTGTGAGTTTGTCCAAAACTGTCAAACCCATAATTTATAACTGCTAGACGTAGAACAGTTTATGCGAAGAACGTTCCTAGAGGAGTTTGTATCGAACACATATAATGTGCACAGGGTGGGGAAATTTCGACGTTTGTATTTGACAAATCTGTAACTACAAGACCACTTTCCCACAATGCGATACGACACGATTTACTGTATGCAGTAAATCGCAATGACACAAAAGTACAGTAGAACGCCGATTAACTGAATCGCCAATTATCCGAATCGGTCCTAAGCGTAATATAAAAAATTAAAACCAAGCACTGTAAGTAAGTACATAATGTAATTTTTGTTTTGTTTTGTTTTGTTTTGTTGTCACAAGTGGAAACTCGCTGGAGTCCAAATATATTTCAACTGTTATGGTTGAAAGCTAGAGGCAAAACACTACATGTTTTGCGTCGCGCAGCTTCCATGAAACGGAACGTTTGTTTTTTACTTACATATTGTAGGATTGAGCTTGTTAAACTTAATAAAGTTCATTCTATGTGTGACAGTTCGTTTTTCTTTATTACCAGTCTATGTCCGATTATCCGAATCGACCCCGGTCCCAATTAATTCGGATAATCGGCGTTCTACTGTATATCCAAAACAAATATATTTAAAGCGAACGCTTTCACACTGATGAGATCCGATATTAAAATCGTTGCAGTAAAAATGTTGCATACAAGCAAGACCCAATCGATATGTTTGGGTTTTCTGCAACATCTCTAACGATGATTCGACGATTGTTCAATACTATTTTCTTCACTTCATGTCTGTTGTTGACGTCCAGCACGCTCTTCGTCGTTCATATATTCTCGGCCCCCTGAGAACATCTCATACCACCTAAAAACGTTGCTTCGGTCCAAAGTAGCTTTCACCATATGCCACAGTCAACATTCGGAATGCGTCCGCGCACTTAATTTTGTTTTTTTACACAAAATTTGATTCTTTGACCAATTTTTTACAAAAATCGAAAACGAGCCAAAACACGTGCAAGCAATGTTAGGCCCGAAGACCGAAAACGCTCAGTGGCCGGAAAAAACGGCCACATCGCGTTCTGGCTGCCTTCGAACGCTCAGAACGCGTTTTGGCTGTTTTTAAACGCTCGCAACGCCTTCTGTAACTGTTAATCAGTCGGAACGCGTTTTGTCAATTGTTGAACGCTCACAACGCGTTCTTAATGTTCGACTTGTATTATTTGCCGCTTTCTACCTGCGTACAATGAGATTTATATTGTACTTATAAAACAAATGAATTTCAATCCATTTTTCAGTTTTTAGGAAACAATTCAATTATTGACAACTATAATTGGATACCAAAGATGGGTTCGGTTTTTCTCGCCGAATCATTTCAACAATATTAAATACCAGCGGACAAAATCTCCTTACTATCAGCATCAACTCAATCATCAGGAAACAAACAAGGTTTTGTTTTTTGTCTGTGCAAACGAATGTGCATTGATAAAAAATGCAAGTGTCGCAATTTAAATGTACTATGTAATTGGAAATGTCATTCAAATTGTTCTTGTAAAAATAAGTAATGTACCTATGTAAAGTACATGAAAGTACGAAAAATGGATTGAAATTCATTTGTTTTATAAGTACAATATAAATCTCATTGTACGCAGGTAAAAAGCGGCAAATAATACAAGTCGAACATTAAGAACGCGTTGTGAGCGTTCAACAATTGGCAAAACGCGTTCCGGCTGTTTAACAGTTACCAGAAAGCGTTGCGAGCGTTTAAAAACAGCCAAAACGCGTTCTGTGCGTTCGAAGGCAGCCAGAACGCGATGTGGCCGTTTTTTCCGGCCACTGAGCGTTTTCGGTCTTCGGGCTTAACGTGTATATTGTATAACAAAATATGAGTGATTTTTGTAAATGGACGGTTGAATGTATTGTATGTAATTGATTTGATAAAAAGGCTTTAAAATAATTGCCGAAATTCGCACGATAGGCGTTTTTAAATAAAAACAATTCTAACAGGATTCAAAATTCGATATAGTTGTTAGATACCTCTCATATTTTATCACTGGTCCATGTTATTTAATACCAAAGTTATGTATCTAATGTTAAAAGTGCACTTTTCAATAACTTCTTTCAAATAACACTAATCTTAAACTTATATCATATTTCTTGTAACTTGTATTCATTTCGTTTTCCATTTTTTTGTGTCATTAATTTGTAGCCTGGTCTAGCTTAAAATCACCCCTTTTCTCATATTTCATTCTATTGCTGTTCGCTTGTTTCTGTCATCTGTGCACTTAAAACCTCTAGTTTATCGCTTGTGAGAAAACTCAAGATTCTTTTACATATCTATTTCAGTTTCAAAATTCATTATTGATAGATTTATTGCAGTTTCACTTCTCAACCTTATTTTTCCATGTCTCAACGAATACCGTATGTAAAAAATGTCTAAAAGCATCTTGGGGGTAAAAACAGTTGTATATTTAAAAACATAGTCAAGTCAGTTAGTCAGTCAGTTGTAGTTTAGACCTTCACTTAATCAGAACCTCTAATTTTAACATTGTACAACCATCACTGTACCAAAGTAAGGGACAAATAAATTAGTTTAACTTACTTCGCTCGCCCCTTTTATTATTAAGGAATTGTTATTGTGTCGGCAAACACATAGAAAAGACTGCCTGGTGTCAGAAGCCCTGACATTAAAATTTTGGTGTCAGAAGTGGGATAAATTTGTTACATTGTTGGGAAAAGTGTATTCGTTTCTCGACTTGGTGAGTTTCAACTCTTCGAACAATTTCCTCAACGCCTGGACAACAACAGGAATCAGCGAAGGACAACTGTTGGACGCAACAAGAGTTTTTTTTCCGTCTGCTGTACTGTTTTACAAGTAAGTTGNCGCTTTCTACCTGCGTACAATGAGATTTATATTGTACTTATAAAACAAATGAATTTCAATCCATTTTTCAGTTTTTAGGAAACAATTCAATTATTGACAACTATAATTGGATACCAAAGATGGGTTCGGTTTTTCTCGCCGAATCATTTCAACAATATTAAATTTCTTATAATTGTTTTTCAGTTCTAGGAAGAAAGTTACACTGAACACTTATATTGTCGAGCATATGATATATGAATGAATGAATGAAAAAGCGAAAAGTTATTCATTAAACAAATTAATTTCGATTTATTTTCTACACATTTAACTTAATGTGGAGTATAACGCAAACTTATATTCATGCCTTTTTTATTTTATTAGAAACGATTTAATTTTTGACAACCACAATTAAATACAAACGAGGTTTTTTTTCGAACCTTCAAGTACTTTACATAGGTACATTACTTATTTGAACTGTTTGCAAACAAAAAACGAAACCTTGTTTGCTTCCTGATGATTGAGTTGATGCTGATCGTAGGGAGATTTTATCCGCTGGTACCTCACTTTCATTAACAAATTACCGTCGGCGATTGTGAATTCATTGCGAGCATAAAGACGTTCGAGAGTACCATTTTTTATAATATATACGGCAAATAATACAAGTCGAACATTATGAACGCGTTGTGAGCGTTCAACAATTGGCAAAACGCGTTCCGGCTGTTTAACAGTTACCAGAAAGCGTTGCGAGCGTTTAAAAACAGCCAAAACGCGTTCTGTGCGTTCGAAGGCAGCCAGAACGCGATGTGGCCGTTTTTTCCGGCCACTGAGCGTTTTCGGTCTTCGGGCCTAACATGTATATANTAAAACTGTTTCTTTGGATGTTGTTGACTGGAAGAGCCCTGGCTAATAGACGCGATTGAATTTGGATTGCCTCATTTTGCAAAATAATTTGTTTTGCCATTTCCAGATTAAGATTTGGAGTGCTGAGAAGTTTTCTCCTTGTATCATTACATTTGATACCAACAACAAGTCTGTCCCTTAATGTGTCGTCCAGATGAGCCCCATATTCACATGGAATTGCAAGTTCCATCAATGTGTCTATGAAATCTGTGGCAGACTCATTGTCTCTTTGGACTCTTTGATTTAAGTTATATCTGCACGTTGCCAATAAACTTCTAGGTTCATACCTGTCTTTTATAATTTTTATTAGCTGCGACAATAACTTATCACGTGGTTTCAATGGTAAACAGCTTGTATGCAAGGTTTGATATGTTTTGTGACCTATATAGGACAACAATAACGCCCTCTTCTGGTTATGTGGCGGTATTACTTGGCCCTCCACATGTAGTATTTCATTTTCAATGCCATTGATGAGGCAAACGACATATCATTAGGCTGGAAATGCTGTAGAGATGAAAATATTGGCTGAAACACCACGTTGCTGAAGGCGGCTTCTCCATTGCTTCCATTTCAGTTGTCCACCATTTTGTATGAATAACTGTTGATTCT